AACTTGTGTTATATAAGGACGTGTGTTATTCCTGTTCCCGTGACTCCAACCCACTCAAGTGGAAGTTCTTCCTTTCAGTTTTGGATGGGAGGGATTTTAATGTAATTGGGTCGAGGTCGTGACCTTCACAGTTGGGAGGAGGTAACTGGGTTTAGATGAACCTGAACTGGATTTGTTAGCATGCTGGTGCTAAGATGGTGTGTTAAAGACTTGTTTTCCACACAGTTGGTGTGTGGTTAAAGTTTATCATGATTTGCTGTGTTTGAATTGTCAGTAATTCTTTATGAATAGCTTTTTTCCTTTGAGTCTATCTAGATTTTTAAACGTGAAGACAAAAGTGTTTTTTTTAACAATATCTTGATGCTGCCGTTCTAGGGCTCCTGGATATTGGAAAAAAATCTGCATTGTGGCTTTCAAACCGTGTGTGTTTGTGTGTATCAAGCTGCAGAATAACTGAAGAATGACAGGAAAAGTGTCACCGACTGCTTTTAAATCTAAACTAAAAGCCTGCGCTGCTGTTTTGTATAAACTGTTGAAAGCTATTTATTTTTTATGTAATCTCTGTTTTTGTGTAATCCGGTTTTGAAACTTGATCATGCCATTCTTGCCCAGAATCTCAGTGGGATCTTCCTGATTGGGCAATAAGGGTTACAGCTCTCTAGAACAAAGATAGCCTTTTTACATCCTCGTGGATCTAATTAATGTCCACCAATAAAATAATCCACAAGTCTCATGTCCACAATCCAACAAAGTAAACCGCTGATCAAATGCATCAACGTGACCTCCGTTTGCATTATGTTAGCTTCAGACCTTTGATCGATCCCACGCCCCACTGAGGCAAAGTTATTGGCTAATAGGTCAAAGGTCATTCCCTCAATTCTCACATGCGTAGCTTGAACTAAATGTGGCCTTGTTTACTGTTGTATTATGTATTAACAACATTTCACATAACCAACCCCTCATGTTTGCTTCCTCAAGCGGAGTAGGAATGATTGTGATTGGTGGATGGCTGCGTGTACAGTACCTTAACGTTAGCTGAGACAACGTTGGGTTTAAAACCTTTCTAATGTCTTTTGACACATGTCATCAGGTTGTTTTTGGCTGAAAGCACATAATCAAACTAAAGCACAAACACAGACTCCAGGTAAGGAAAACTAAATGTTTCTATAAATATTCACCATTTTGGTATAAAGGGGAGAAACTCGCCTTCATCTTTTCTGTCTTAAAATCTAATAATAAAAAATGTTTTATTTTGTTAAGTTTAGGGTTAGAGTCCCATGAGTCCAGAGCTATTATTGAGTCTTTTGCAGTCCTCCAGAGGGTTTCTTCGTCACATTAACTCGACATTCCTCAGATGGTCGACAGCAGACAGAATATTTTCAAGACAAACACAAAACTTTGAGCGATTACATTGCCAGTCGTTGGAAACTAGCCTCTGCTGTTGTGTCCTCTTTACAGATTTCTAGTATTTCCTGTATTTTTCCTGTCAAAATGAGAATCCAGACCAGTTGCTGTAATAAAAACCAGAGCCCTGCTCACCTTCTTCACTTGTTTCCTTCCAGAGTCGCTGCTCTTGGCCTGGCTGCAGGTGTTCTGCTGGTCCTTCTCCTCTTCTGTCTTTACCGGGTTCTGTGTCCTCGGAACTACGGCCAGAACGGCGTCGCTCACGGGCGCCGGCGACGAGGTGACCTGCCCTGCGATGATTATGGTTACTCGCCACCTGTCAGTGAGATCTCACCGCTGCTGCTCAGAGGCCACAGTATGGTGAGGGTAGATTCTAGAAGAGGCATTAGAACACGTAAAAATCCAGAAAACACAAACCTGAGGTTGTGGTGTTTTCTTCTGTCCTGCAGGACATCGAGTGTTTGGCCAGTGATGGGATGCTGCTGGCTAGCTGTTGTCTGGCTGGACAAATTCGTGTTTGGGACGCCCAGACGGGTGACTGTTTGACCGTCATTCCAAAGCCAGGGTGGGGTCACGTTAAACTTTTATTATTATTATTATTATTATCTCTTCTATTGTCACACGTATTATTAGTTACTCTGATGAAAGTTATGCTCATAAGTATTTCTTAACCTTTGAAGTGCCAGATCAGCTGTTCAGTAGAGCTCGTTTTAGTCGAGATTTTTAAGGAAAAATTACTTTTTCATTCCATTATTGTTCTTTTTGTATTATTATTATTATTATTATTATTATTATTATTATTATTATTATTATTAGACCCTAGCAGCAAAAGCACTGCGAAGGCCCATTGTAATGGCTTTGTTTATTCTCCTTCTTGCAAATGAATTGGCTCTTTGGAAGCCTTAACATACACAAGAACTCAGTTTATTGCACGCATGTCAGTCATGGTGGAAAATTTCGTATATTAAAGGATTTTAAAAAATGCAGTAAAATAGGCTTGATAGCGCCCCCTAGTAAGTGGGAAAATCAGCCCCGCTGTTGACTTTATTTTTATAGTAGAGTTATGAAATGTTGCACACTTGTAGAACTCACCAAGCCACACAGAAAAGCCTCCATGGTCAATATCAAATGGGAAGTCGGCCATTGTGGATTGAAGTGGAGATTTTGACCCCGTTTTGGTTGTTTGTAGGGTCCGCATATGATTGAACTACTCGGTCATGTTTTGCACGATCGCCTTAAAAATGTGTGCGATTGCTCAGAAGAGACGGGCGATCGAAACGAGATAAGAAAAAACTGACTTTTCCTATATGTTGAAGGGGCGGAGCCAGGCCTCGAAGTTCAACTACTCACCAAAAAATATTTAAAAAAAAAGGCTTTAATTTCCTTACAAAATTACTAATTTTCTATGGTCATTCCTCATCCGCCTTCGAAGAAAAATGTCGGATGATGACGTCACTCAAGTTCCGCCCCCTCAGGACTGAAAAGGTCATGTTTTATTCTGAAAGGTCCCAATTATTCCCAATTTATGCAATCAGCACAATCCACTAGCAAGTAACTGAAGATGAGTTGGGGTTGCTTTCTGGGAGATTTAAAAAAGTTATGTCAGCCCCAAGCCATGCTTTGACTGAGGATTTAGAAATTTTGTAGACTTATGTCGTGTCTCAGTACCTACAAAAATATGCCACAGGAAGGCAACCGTTTTGGTCAAAGTACAACATTTTTTTTATCACACGTCATAGGGGGGCTAAGTCCCCTTGATCTTTTCACCTATCGACCTAAAATGTCCACTGTATATAAGACGTAGGGGAAAATTTCAACCTCCAAATTATTCAAACGTTGGACGGTGTGGGTGTGCCTAAGCCTCAAACCTGTCGCCACACCATGCTCTACTGTCCCAATTTGACCCCTTTCACTTTATCAGCGTGAATGTCTTGCTAATAGTAGTAGACATGTTGGGGTCAATGGCAGCGTCACAAGAAGGGCGGGGCTTTGGGGGCATGGCAAAATGATGACCTGCCATGGAATTACGTTTGCCTCTCATTTTCTCAATTCTTATCAGCAAAAATATTCATGTGAGTGTCCCTAATCCGACTCACTGGCAGCGGTTGTGGCACTTTGCCGAAGTGGCGCAGAGTGAGGGCCGAACGACTGCTAGCAGCTTTAATTATTATTATTAATATTGCTTATATTTTATGGTAGGGCTAATCGATCTGTTGTTTTCTGATGGAAATTACGATTTCAAAAGTGTGGTCACATGTTCGTCCAAACTGCGTTTTATATATATATATATATATAATTATTATTATTATTATTATCTCTTCTATTGTCAAACATATTTTTAGTTACTCTGATGAAAGTTATATATACATATATATATATATATATATATATATATATATATATATATATATATATATATATATATATATATATTAATATATATATATATTTATTAGTTATTTTTTTGCAGCGCTCCGGCTGACCTAGGATCTGTTGTGTTAACTATTTTACACATCTGGGATTTTCCCGGGTTTGTGCTTGAGTTGATGGAGCAGCACGTTGGTGCACTTCGCAGTGATTCCAGGAGTTTTTTGTTTGTTTTCGTGGCGCTTTTACGATCTGCTTTAGTCGTCTGTCGCTCATTTTCTGTCCATCACTCAGCACCATTTGAGTCAGATTCTCCCACGTGCAACAGCGGAAAGAGATTTACCGTAATAACACTGAGTGGACTCAAGCACAACTTCTTTTCTTTATAAACAGTTCAAAATTTTCCAGTGGCACACAAACCGTTGCAGCGTTTTGGTAATCAAAGCAAGCATGTAAGATGCATCTGTGTGTTTGTGAGAAATTAGACAATGCAGCGGAAACCCAGCCTGCATGTTAATGTATACATTCACAAACCGTTCTTACTATTAAATTTTATCTTTGCATCATTTGAGTATTAGCTTTAGATGTCTTAATGGTACAGTGTCATTTGATTTGAAATAAATCATGGATCAAATAGAAATTGCAATTTCTGCCAGAAAAATCACAGTTGTTGCTGAAAGCACCCAAAGTATTTAAGAGCTGCAAAAAAAAAAATCTCCTAGAATATTCTAATCACACTCAGAAGCAACTCTTTGGATAAATAACCGACGGATATATAAAGATCGCCCGACTGGAATGAAAACGTGTAGAGAAAAGGAACATTATTAATCTGTTTTACGCACGCTCCTCTTTGCCTCCAGACTTGGACGGAGCATCAGCAGCAGTGGCTGCTGGGAGCAGAGGGACGCCTGGGACAGCCTGAGTGGAGCTGCGGAGTCGGAATGTGCAGACCCCTCCAACGGCTGCGACGGCGCCCTGGAGGATGAGTGTTATCCTCTCAGACGCCGCAGCGCACCCAGCCGGCCGCCGCTTTTCACCAATCAGCCCGATCTGACTCCGCTCATTGACACCAACTTCGCCTCACTGCCACCCTCCAACGTCTCCACTCCACCCAGGGTGGGGTTTGACTTCGGAGGCCTGGTGGAGCGTGCCTACACCGAGCACGAGCCCCCCTCCACCTACCCCTCTCCTTCCTCTGCCTCCTCTTCACCTCATTCCTGCACTCTGCTCCAGAGGAGTCCAAGTTTAGGAGACTCGACTGGGCCCTCAACCCAAGACTCTGCAGTAGGGACACAAGGGTCCGGAGACGTGAGCTCCGTCTGGGCCTTGGAGCTGAGAGGAAACCTGATAGCTGCTGGGAGGAGCAGCGGCAAACTGGAGGTGTGTCACGTCCACCTAAATGAGACTTTGACCTAATGGTAAAATAAAAGCTAAAATAATGGTGAAGATAATGCTGATATTCCACCTGTGCAGCTGTGGGATGCAGTAGAAGGATCCCTGCGCTGCAGCAACGAGGACAGCGTCTCTGGGATCACCGCTCTGGCCTTCCTCAGCAACAGGTTAAAGAAAAATCTAAAACCATCTTTTCTTGTCTTCAGGTTCATTTGTCTTAGATTTTATGTTCATGTTTTTCTTGATAAATTGTTATTTTTAAATAGTTCTCATACATTTTAACTAATTCCCTTGACATCTTTTATTAAGAATAAGACGTCAGCCTCTGAACTTGAGTGTTTTTCTCCTTAGAATCGTGGCCGCCCGGCTTAACGGGTCTCTAGATTTCTTCAACGTGGAGATCAACAAACCTTTAGGACTCCTGCACAGAGGTGAGGTTCATGCACCCGGCCATGTGAAAACTTTAGGTTACTGTCGTAACCCCGGTTCTCTGAGTAACATGAGTGAGATGTCTCACTATGGGATACGCCCCTCCGCGGATTCCTCAGAAGCACTTATCTCAATACGCCAATCCTGATTGGCCAGTGACCGTGACGTACGCGTCACCTGCTACTATAAGTAGCAAGCGTCCCCACGCACGCACTATTCAAGATAAACACCTCTTCTCGCTTCGCCCAGCAAGAAGGGTTGTCTGGTGAGACATCTCACTCATGTTACTCAGAGAACTGGGGTTACGACAGTAACCTAAAGTTCTCTTTCTTAACATTCGTTTCGATGTCTCACTATGGGATATGGAGACTCCCGTATTGCCAGACAGCTTATCCAGCGATCACCAACCTACAGGGATACGTCTTGGCCCGCCAAAGACCCCACACTCAGAATCGTGTGAGTCATTGCAGGGACCGAAACATCAAGCTTATAGAAGCGTGCAAATGCAAGTGGAGAAGCCCAACTTGCTGCAGCACAAATCTCCTGGATTGACAGCCCCTGAAAAAGGGCCCAAGAAGCAGACAGGCCCCTAGTAGAATGGGCCCTGAGCCCAACAGGTGCCTGAATGCCTTGACAGGAGTAAGCCATAGAAATAGCCTCCACAATCCAGTGGGAAAGCCGCTGCTTTGTGACGGGTTTCCCCTTACGAGGCCCACCCCATGACACAAAAAGGTGGCCCCCCGCGAAGGTTCTTTGTCCGATTCACATACTCCTTGAGCGCGCGAATCGGACACAGCTTGTGCCACCGCTCCTCCTCAGGAGAGGAGAAGGGTGGCGGGTAGAAAGCTGTGAGGATAATAGGAGAAAAGGAGCCCACCACCTTAGGCACAAAGGCAGGGTTGGGCTTCAGGGACACCTTCATGTCACCTGGTGCAAACTGGGTGCAGGATGGGTGCACAGAGAGTGCCTGTAAGTCACTAACTCGCTTTGCAGATACCAAAGCCAGGAGTAGCACCACCTTAAGAGACAGGATCTTAAGGTCCAGGCCGTCCATAGGTTCAAATGGAGGCCCGGAGAGGGCCGACAGCACCAAGGACAGATCCCATGAGGGCACCAGGGGTCGAGACACAGGGAGAAGCCTGCGCGCGCCCCTCATGAAGCTACACACCAGGGGGTGTTGACCTGCCAGTTTCTTCCCAAAACCCAAGTGTCGGGCGGAAATGGCTGCTAGGTACACTTTAATGGTGGAGAAAGCCTTCTTCCCATCCAACAAGTCTTGCAGGAAAGACAGAATGACGTTCACCGGGCATTGGAAGGGTGAGACCTCCCTGCCCTGACACCAGGCTTCAAACACCCTCCATTTACAGTCATATAGGGACCTAGTGGAGGGGGCCCTAGCATTCTGAATGGTTTGAATGACTGCCTGGGGCAGCTCTGCTGACACTAGCCCGCACCCCTCAGGGGCCAGGCCCACAGGGCCAGCCATTCTGGATGAGGGTGGAAGATCGAGCCTCCTGCTTGGGACATCAGGGTTCTGCGAAGCGGAAGTTTCCAAGGTTGGCCCTCCAGAAGCTGGAAAATGTCCGCCACCCAATGCATGGCTGGCCAGTATGGGGCCACCAGAATGAGAGTGTGGAGCTGGGTTCGTACCCTCAGCAAGGTGGGTGGTATCAGGGCCACTGGGGGAAAAGCGTAAAGCAGTCCCCGTGGCCAGTCGTGCGCCAGCGCGTCCACGCCGAGTGGAGCATCTCGGTCGCGCAGAGGACAGTGAGCATTCTCCTTGGAGGCAAAAAGATCCACTACGGCTGTGCCGAACCGGATCCAAATCTGTTCCAACACTGCTGGATGCAGGCTCCAATCCCCGTACAGGGGTGTCCCTCTGGACAACAGATACGCCCCCCGATTCAGAACACCCAGGACATGGGTGGCTCTGATTGAGAGGAGATGCCTGCTGCACCATAGGATCAGTCTGCGTGCCAGCGTGTGTAACCGCATGGAGCGCATCCCCCCCTGGTGGTTTATATAAGCCACAGTCGTGGTGTTGTCTGTTCTCACTAGGACATGATGGCCGGAGAGAAAAGGCAGGAAGCGCCTCAGGGCCAGAAAGACCGCGAGGAGTTCCAGATAATTTATGTGTGTCCCCCAGAGCTCTCTGCTCCACACACCCCTGACAGAGCGACCCTCCAGGAGCCCCCCCCCCAACCTGACAGGCTCGCATCTGTCGTGACCACTTTCCTCACGAGAACCAACCCCAAAGGCACCCCCTGTGCCAAGAGGGAGGGGTGACGCCAACAGCGGAGCGCCGCGACGCACGCTGCAGAGACCGTCACCCTGCGCGCTCTGTGGCGCACTGGAGAGAGACCCAGAGAAGCCACCCAGCGTTGAGAATCTCTTATGTGTAGACGGCCGAGTGGTACCACTGAAATAGCCGACGCCATGAGACCCAAAAGCCTGAGGCATAACGCAAACCGCACCGAACTGTGTAGGCGGAAGCGCGCCAGGCAGAACGAGAGCGCGTTTACGCGCGGTGCCGAGAGACGGGCCGTGAACGCCCCTGAGTCCAGATTCAGACCTAGAAAGGTTATTTTCTGGGAGGGGAGTAAAGCGCTTTTCTGCCAGTTTATTCTGAAACCCAGACCACACAAGTGAGGGATCACAACCAGCGTGTTTGACGCTGTCTCCTCTCTGGACCGTGCCAGCAGGAGCCAGTCGTCTAAATACGTGGCCAGCCGAATGCCCCTCCCTCTCAGAGGGGCGATCGCCGCCTCCGTACACCTGACAAACACCCTCGGGCTCAGCGAGAGGCCGAATGGGTGCACGGTGTATTCGTAACACACTCCCTGAAAGGCAAACCTCAGTAATTTCCTGTGTGGAGGGTACACGGGAACATGAAAGTATGCGTCCCTCAGGTCGATTGAGGTGAACCAGTTGCTCTGGTGAATCAGACGCAAAAGGGATGAGAGCGTGAGCATTTTGAATCTGTACTTTCTTAGGCATCGGTTCAGGGCCCTCAGATCCAGGATCGGGCGAATCCCGGTCCCTCCCCGCTTCGGGACCAGGAAGTACCTGGAGTAGAAACCGCTCTGAGACCGATCGGGAGGCACAATGCATATCGCTCCCTTCTCCAGCAGGGTGGAGATTTCTCCCTGAAGGATGTGAGCTGACGTCCCCTGGGCGTGGGAGAACACTACGCCGGAGAATCGAGGAGGAACAGAAGCGAATTGGAGCCTGTAACCCCTCGAAATAGTTCTCAGCACCCAACGTGAAGCAGAAACCGCTGTCCATTCCTCCATGTGAGTGGAGAGCGGTGACACAGCCGTGACACACGGAGCAGCAGCTCCCTCCAGAGGTTGTGGGGCAGCGGTGCTCGTGGCAGCCACTGCGCATGCGCGGGGGCTTTGTGCTTTGACGGCCCAGGCTTACGGGGACGACCCGTGGCTGGCGGGTAAGTCCGCCAGGGGTCGCCCCCGCCTGGAACCGCTCATGGGTGACATTTTTATTGATTTTTGCTGCGCCCTTGACATCTTGTCTGGATGCGACAGCGAACCTTTTAATGCTCCTTGAGCGTGACATGTTTGTGAAAAACAGTGTGAGTGCTTGTGACGTGTGTTTTGAGCCGGCACCGCCGGCTGCACATCCTGGCCCCACCCTGGACCGCTCGGGAACTCTGCCGGAGGGGTTCCGTGAGGGGGGGGGAGAAAGCACCATGGCAACGTCGAACAGGAGGAGCTGGCGAACGGGGAACCGCCAGCTGCAGCGTCAGGAGGGAAGAACTCAGACAGGCTGCCCACTTCTTCCTCCTCACCTGCTGACCGCCGTGTCTGGTGGATTGTCCCGGCGGCGGAGCAGCTTGGTTGCCGGATCCATGAGGCCAAACTGGTCGAGGCTCTGAGCCCGAAGGAGCTGGTTGGACAGCTTGAGGCTTCGGGCGCTTTGGGATCCGGAACTGAGGCTGGGCTCGGGCAGCTGCCTGAGGCAGGTTCGGCCGAGCCGGCAGCGCCGGTGGAGGTTTACGGGGAAGGCAGAGATGAAGGGCTTCATCCTCTTTCTTTTTGGCCGCACACCGTTGCTGCATTGATGCCAGGGCAGAGCCAAAAATGACTTCAGGCACGATTGGCATGTCCAAAATGTCCTCCTTCTCTCTCTCAGAGAGGTTGGTGAGGTTCAGCCATCGTGCACGTTCCTGAAGCACCATCATGCCCATAGCTTTAGCCGTAGCATGGACCGCGCAGCGCTGCACACGCAGGCGGATGTCGGTCAGTACGGTGATTTCCTCCCACACCTCCGGGTCCGGCTTCGTATTCATGTCCTCACAGAGCTCGGCTTGGTACGCCGAGAGCATGGAGGAGACATTCAAAGGTCGGACCGAGATGGCGGCAGCCTTTTACGCCCTCTCGTTCAGCGCCGACTGGAAGCGGTCCGCCTTCGCAGGGAGAGCGGGAGGCCTGGAGGAAGTCGCAGAGAGCCGTGGGTGTAGGTGGGCTGCAACCAGCAGTTCCATCGGCGGCATGCGAAGCATGCCAGCCTTCTCCATCCCTTCGAAGTCCAGCGAGCAGGCTCCTTGGACAGGAGACCTGGAGCTGAACGGGTGTTTGTCCCAGGAGGACCTCACTTCTTGGAGTAGCTCCGGGAAGGCGGGAAGGAGGGGCTTTGCCGCCCTCGTGGCCTGAGGCAGCTTCTTTCCCTCGTAGCGGGATCTGACAGCCTCAGTGACCACGGTGGGCCAAGGGATGTTGAGCCTGGTCGCAGCGCTTCGGCAGACTGACTGCATGTCCAGGTGGGCGGCCGGAAAAGCCGCTCCATCCCTGGGAGAGGACGGAAAGCTAGGCATGGAGGCCTGAGCGATGGGGAGAAAGACGTCGTCCTCCTCTGAAATGAGGAGTTCCGAGGTGTCCTCGTCGTCTCCGTAGTCCAACTCCAACACGTCCTCGGCGGGGTGGAGTTGGACCGGCCAGTTCGAGCTGTGAGCCCCAGCTGAGTTCGGCACACGGTTCCGGCTCCGGGAGGACATGTTCGCTGGCGTCCCCAGGCGGTGGCCCAGGGGCCGGCAGGCAAGGGTCCTTCCCCGACAGGCTAGCTTGGCGTGCTAGCCGCCGGCGAAGGCTCTTCAGGGTGAAGCAAACGCAGCTCTCACATGACCCGGGGACTTCCAATGCCAGCTGGGCGTGTTCCAGCCCGAGGCAGCTCGAGCAGACCCTGTGCGGGTCTTTGCTTGAGATTTTGTTCCCACAGGTACAGAGGCGAGCTCCTGCGCCGTCGACTCCTCTGGTGGGAGGAGCGGCTTCCATGTCGGCTAACTGGTGTGTTAGCACAGAACGAACAGATGCACTAGATTGTGAAGCTGCTCGTTTTTCCCCGAGCCTATGCTGAAGGTCAGGACAGAAGGACGGTAAGTTAACGTTCGGCGACAGAGAGAATATTAAAAGGCTCCGTCTGTGAACAGTTGAGCTAACTTACCTCAGAGATAAGCGACCACCGAAGCGAGAAGAGGTGATTGAATAGTGCGTACGTTGGGACGCTTGCTACTTATAGTAGCAGGTGACGCGTACGTCACGGTCACTGGCCAATCAGGATTGGCGTATTGAGATAAGTGCTTCTGAGGAATCCGCGGAGGGGCGTATCCCATAGTGAGACATCGAAACGAATGTTAAGAAAGAGAACTCAGCACTTGGTGAGGTTTATAGTAAATATTGGTGTTTCTCTAAGCTGTAAATGTGGCTGTATGAACACACATTATGCTGTAAGTGTCCGGGACCGCTCCTTCAGACAAACTATTTAAACATTAATTTGAAAACAATTTATTAGTCACCTGAACTTGTTTAAAGGCTTTGGGAAATTGTGGTTATTTAATTTGTCAAGTAGTCTGACCTGATATAACAAGCTAACATTAGAATCAGCTAATAGCTATCCTTACCATCAGCTAATAGCTAACATTAGCATCAGCTAATAGCTAACATTATCATCAGCTATTAGCTAACATTAGCATCAGCTATTAGCTAAAATTAACATCAGCTAATAGCTAACATTAGCATCAGCTAATAGCTAACTTTAGCATCAGCTAATAGCTAACATTATCATCAGCTAATAGCTAACATTAACATCAGCTAATAGCTAAAATTAACATCAGCTAATAGCTAACATTAGCATCAGCTAATAGCTAAAATTAACATCAGCTAATAGCTAACATTAGCATCAGCTAATAGCTAACATTAGCATCAGCTAATAGCTAACATCATCAGCTAATAGCAATATCATTTAATTTTCTGGGAGTTAATGTAACAAGTGGTGGTTGAAACTGGACGTTGGACTAAAGACTTGGATGGGACTTGGACTCGAGAGATGGTGACTTGACTACGACACTGGTCAGCAGTAGTTGTGCATCCAAAGATCTGTCTGAAGGTTTCATTAACAAACTTCCTTAATGAGATATTTTAGGGAGTATTGATGAAAACATGTTCTTGTCCCTCCTGGCGCCCTCTCCAGGTGCCCCTTGCCGAGGCTCTGTGCCCCCGTCTCCGTGTTACAGCAGTGAAGACGTGATCAACTGCCAGCTCACGCGCTCGGTGCAGTGTGCTCACCACAAGCCGATCACGGTGCTGCGAGCGGCCGCTGGGAGGGTCGTCACCGGCAGCCAGGACCACACCGTCCGGGTAAGATGTCTATAAGCAGCTCACGCTCGGGTGTTTCTGCCTTTGTGGAATTAAACTAGCGAATAGGTGGTGTAACTGATGTTTGTGTTGGTCAGGTGTATCGGCTGGAGGACTCGTGCTGCCTCTTCACCCTGCAGGGTCACTCTGGAGGGATTACTGCCATCTATATAGACCAGGTCCGTGTTTTAATCTATGTAACAAGAGCAGACGGGCTTTTACTCCACCTGGTGTCTGATTTTCATCTAAAAATTGTTGAAAGCATTAATAAGTGTTTCTATTGATGGAAACATTGTCTATGTAATGTTTATAGTAGTAAACAACAACAGATTGTGTTTGTTCCGATCAGACGATGGTTCTGGCGAGCGGCGGGCAGGATGGCGCCATCTGTCTGTGGGACGTCCTGACAGGAAGTCGAGTCAGCCACGTTTATGGTCACCGTGGCGACGTCACCTCACTGGTCTGCACTAACTCTTGTGTCATTAGCTCAGGACTGGATGACCTCATCTGCATATGGGACCGCAGCACTGGGATCAAACTCTACTCCATACAGCAGGTAGTGGAGAGGTCAAAGGTCAGCGGTTCAGTCCGGCATTTAGCAGGTCCTGTTTTGATGTTCGGGTGTACCTGTTCTCCTCTCCAGGAGGTGGGCTGTGGAGCCAGCTTGGGAGTGATCTCCGAGTCCCTGCTAGTGACGGGGGGCCAGGGCTGCGTCTCCTTCTGGGACCTGAACTTTGGCGACCTGCTGCAGACCGTCTACCTGAGCCCGAGTGGTGACGGTCAGGGTGTTCGGCAGCTGCTGGTGCTTGACAACGCCGCCATCGTCTGCGACTTCGGTAGCGAGCTCAGCCTGGTCTACGTGCCCTCTGTGCTGGAGAAACTGGACTGAGGTGGCTCAGCAGCTGGGCGGGGACGCGCGTGGTGAACGTGCACAAGGCGTGAACGTTGAACCCAAGTTTTTTATAGCACTGAGAAGCTTGAAGTCTGGATGTTGAGGGACAGAAAATCAGAATTTTCAGCCACCGCCGTCGCTGGAAGTTTCTCATTTAATATTTTTTAATGAGGTTTTTTTGTTTGTTTGTGGGTCTGCCCTTGATGCTGCTGACAGGGGTGGGGCTTCACTCTGACCCCACCCTCTTAAAAAGGAGGATGAAGTCACCTCCTCTTTATTTTTCTTTTTTATATTCCTGCTGCATCGGTGTTTTGACCGTGACGTGCAGCCATGGTGAGTCTTGACAGATGTGTGTGTGTGTGTGTGCGTAAAAGAATAATGAACAATTCAGCCCCCTTTAAGGCAAAAACGGGATGTGTGTGTGTGTGTGTGTGTGTGTGTGTGTGTGTGTGTGTGTGTGTGTGTGTGTGTGTGTGTGTGTGTGTGTGTGTGTGTGTGTGTGTGTGTGTGTGTGAGAGAGAGGGAGAACTGATGATTACTGTATAACGTAAACCTCCAGTGGGGGATGTTTTTATATGTATAAATCTATTATTTATTAGCGATACGTTTGAGTCACAGTTTGTTTATAAACAGCTGGTTCCAGCTCTTAAATGTAAATATCAGAGTGGTGATGACTCATGCAGGAGGATGTTTGTTGGTGGAGTTTCTAACTGGTTTTTTTATATTCTGCTGGAAAGTGCTTGTTGTGATGGACTTGAGAGAGTGTGTGTGTGTGTGTGTGTGTGTGTGTGTGTGTGTGTGTGTGTGTGTGTGTCTGGGGGGGGGTAAGTGTCATCAGGCTACCTCTGTTCTCACTTGAACTTTAGATGACTGATGTCTTTCTGAGCTGTTCACATTCCCACCTTATCCTCCGAAAATGTGCCCTTCTGAGATTTTATCATGAAGTAATTTTATACCTAACACTCAACTCACTCAGATTAAAACTTTTGCCCATAGTGACAAACTAAATTAGACCAAAGATGATTTTTCTTGAGTCACCTCCAAGTTACTGATGGATTTAAGAGGATTTTTCAACCAATTATTGAAAAGAGGGGAATAATATATGTTTTCATCAAGCTTCAAATACAGGAAGTGAAGTTTTAGCAGTATTACTGTAAGGCTGCGTTCACTGCAGGCAAAGTGCATCAAATCCGACTCGTTGCCCAAATCGGACCCAGGTCCCTTTCATATCAGTCTGAACTATCATCCGGCCTTAAATCCGACTCGTACGTCACCAATGAACTAACTAAGGTGTCCCACTTTTCAAATCAGCTAAACATTTTGTTCCAGTTCAATAAAAAAAGTTAAGAATAAAACCGTTATTTTGATCTGAGAAACCGAACCGAACTATTCTAAAAGTCAACAAACCAACGTTGTTTAATCTGGTAAACTTCAGGAAAGGGAATGGAAACACGTGGAAGTTAAGCTGATCCTGGGTCAGAACTCTGGGACAACTACTCATACATAAATGAGTGTAAATGTTTCCTTTATTGGGTTTTATATTAAAAATAAAAAAGCTGCCACCTGCTCAGAGGGTCTTGCATCGCAGCATTTCTCCTGTGTTCATCTGGTTAACGCGCTCTGTTCACCTTTAACCCCACACAACCGGTTCTCTTGGGATGCAGCAAGCAACGTTTAAAACCAGGAAACGGTTTGTTCCAGATCACGAGTTAATTTATTTAGGATTTTTAGCAAACCCATCTGAAGCTGCATCCCACAGAAACAAGTCGTGTGGCCTCAGCGACGCCGCAGCAGCTGTTCTGGTTCCTGTTTGAGCCGCGGCGTTTCATTTTAAATATTTTCGTTGGAGCTAAAGTTTGACTTTGTGGAGGGAACTGAGAAGTAATCCCATTACCCGTTAAACCAGCCACATATGCTTTTTATTGATATTTCTATTAACTTTAGAAAGTGATTTTGCTCTTTTAATATTTGTTTTGACCAGTTGCCTAGCAACCAACAGAGCAGAGATGACAGGAAGTTACAGATATTTGTTTTTTTGCACTTAATATGTATTTGTAGCGATCAGGCAGTAGACTTTATAAAGAGCGTGGTTTCCTGTAGCAGCAGGTTGGTGACAAGTTACTGGACCTTTTAAATCTGACTTTCAGGTCATGAACGAGGTTTAGATTCATTTAAATAAACACGTTCGTGTGTGTGTGTGTCGGTGTCTTCAGATCATGACGTTGTGGATGCAGCCCTGACCTTTTTTAACAGAGGTGTGTGTGTGTGGGGGGGGGGGGTCTATTTCCTGCATCATCCGAGTGAATGTTAGAAGTCTGTTTACAGCGTTTTGTTCTGCAGCTGCTGTTTAAAGTAGAAATGTCTCCTTTCATTTCATCACGTTGAACTGGAAGTGCAAACATTCTCCTCCTCTCATTGGCTGGCTTAACAGTTTTATAACAAGAAACTTTGTACTAATGTTCAAATAAAGACGCTTTGATACGACATCTGTTTACTAGATTTATTTCCTGTTTTTACAAGGATGACTGAGTAGTGACTTTTCTAGGAGGACATGTTGGAACAGCCTAACTTTATTTACAGAGAAAAGAAACGTTTTAAAACATGCTGATTTGTGCTCTTCAGCCTCCATCGTCTGGGTTTCCCAAAGCGCCAGGCACCATCAAAGCTTTGTGATGCTTTAACACCCATGTGAGATGTGGAAATGGGAGTGCATACTGGATGTTGGGGGGGAGGGTGTAAGTGCACAAGTGAAGAAAAGCTGCAGTGGGACAACAAAAGGATGCTAACAGGTGCATAGTGATGTGGTCCCAGAAGTGTTGAGTGGAGAAGCCAGTTTCAGAGATGACGCCAAGCTACAGGCACATGTTGGAATTACTAGTGTCTGCAGCGCTCTCCGGGTCTTTACTGACACCTGGTGGCAAATATGACAAAGGCAGCAATCTATGGACACGTCTAGCGCTTGTTGAGGGTCCAGAGGGGGTCTAGGCTACTGAGGGGGTCAGCGTCGTCATCGCCTCGGGTCACATGGAGTCCCTGACCCTCTGCCGGCTGCAAAAAACTCTGCTTCGTCACCCGTTGCTTCCCTCGACCGCCCCCATCCAAGGAGAAGGCCTCTGGCGTCAGAGAAGCCAGAAGATCTAGCGATGATGGTGCCGGCGCAGTGGAAGCTGGAGGCGGGCTGCTGCAGGGAGCAGCCTCAGCTGCCGGCTGGTGATTGGCTGCAATTGGAGTCGATGGGGAGAGGCCATCAAGGCCGTTGGGTGGTGGAGGAGAGTGTGTAGGGGAGGTGAGAGGTGGGCTAAAAGAGGAGGGGGGTTGGGACTCTGGTACAGAGCAGGGGTCCTGAAACAGCTGCAGGTCAGCCATAGAGTCCAGACTTGGTAAGATAGTCCCAACCTGCTCCTCTGGGCAGCAGCAGGCGCTGGCCTCCATGGCGGGATCGTTGGCGCTGGGCGGTCGGATGCTGAGCTTAGCGATGGTGGCCTGAATGGAGCTGATGGGCATGTCACCACCGAGGACGATGTCCTGCTGAGATTCTTGTCTCGAGTAAGGCTGCAGAGGAGTCCAGAGAGAGAAATGTTCAAACAAGGAAATTAGTGAGGATGTAGCTGGTTAAATAAAAAGTTGAAAATGGTGTCCGTCAGAGTGAACCTTTGAGGCTGCAGGGTTGGTGTTTTTGGTGTAGGTGGCCGTCGTGATGCCGTGGCGCTGAAGAACCTGCTCTGCGTGCTTCAACACGGCCTCGTAGCAGAACTTCAGGTGGAGCTGGAGAAACATATCCTCATAAAACACCCGAAATCTACTCATCCATTTACTGTTCCTCACAATTTACATGAAAATATGACCAAACTAATATTAATACATGTGTTCTAAAAAATTATGGTTTTTTTTGTCATGGACGCCTGATCTAATCAGCTATGAAGGAAGTGCCACAGAACATCTAAATTGGTTAGAAAACATCAAACCAAAACCAGAGGTATCAGAGTGGAACTGACTTTCTCTTGCAGCATGTTCTTCCTCTGTTGTCTCAATTTCTTCACCAACAGTGGAAGGTCAGGGATCCCGTTTCCCGCCTCCAGCTCCTGCACGGCTGCGTACAACAGACAGAGGGCACCTGTGCGTCCAACACCCGAGCTTCAAAAGAAACCAGGTAAAGGTTAGACTGCAGTCTTCTGTCATGTTTGGTTGAGCCCGTTTAATTCCCTTTATCTTACTGAAGCAGGAGCTGAACTTAAAAGGTGACATCATGTGGTCAAATTTGGGTACTGCAGTCCATGTATCAAAATAAAAGCCCCCTCTTACCCACTCCCCCTCTTCCCGTTCATTAGTTTCATGGTGGTTGCCAGTTGCAGATCAGTTTGAGCTGACCATTTTTTTAATTCGTCGTTAGCAACATTAGCTCAAAGTTAGCCTAGAAAACAGAAACTGTTAGTTATCCGCAGGAGTGACATCACTCACCTACAGTGTACCACGACAGGTGTGTGTAGGGGCCTCTGGTGGAGGTAGTGCCCGTGTACCTCCTGAATGAATCGCAGCAGGTTGCTCTTGCTGTCAGGAAGACCTCTAACGAGACAAATCAGTGGAAAATGATCACACACTAAATCTATTTAACATTTAAACCCTGTAACCACAGGAGACACACTGGACCTACAGCTCTGGCCAGGAAGTGAACTGCAGGTGAACGACGGTGCGCTTCAGGCTTTGGTCGCGGTACTGCAGACTGATCATGCGCTCCACGTGGGTCGGAGTCATCTTCTGTGTGGTTAGGCTGAGTGTGATTGGTCCCTGAGAGAGCTGCTGGCCACGCTCCGTAGGGAAGTAGCGCAAAACTTTCCCCTGGAACACACCGGACACAAATCTCACGACTTGTAAAAAAAAAACCTTGAAAACTTCAGTTGACAAAAGATTTTAAGGCTTAAACTTTGTACCTTTTCCAGCTCCTGCTCGGAAACGAGCATGACAATCAGTGACACCTTCTGCTCGTACACCATCAGCCAGAAGTCCGCTGCCGTGCCGGTGAGCGGAGCCTGGGTGGCAATAAGGCGAGGGCAGTATGGTGACAAGTCTTCCACATAGCTGGCGTTGATGTAGTCGTCCTTGCCTGACTGCAGCACTACACGGTTGATGTCATAAGGCATGACATCCTGGTGGCGGTTCTTCATGGTGTAGCAGCGGGCGATGGCGATAGAGAGCTGGCGCGCGTCCTTTTCCTGCTGGTCCTGCAGCTCTTTCCAACGGGAATCCAAAACTGACAGACCACCCTCGTTCTCCGAGGGGTGCTCCAGGGCATCTACCTGGGCTCTGTAGCGCTCCAGTTCACCGTGAAGACGAGCAACACACTCTGGGGCTTGGTATGGATCACCGTGGATCAGGAGAACTCCCTGGGAGCTCTTCTTTCGACGCTCCCCATCTTGGGGGTCAGCTTTGGTTGGCTGGAGGACGTTAGTGGGGGCCTTGGTGCCTCCGGGTTGGCTCTCTGGACTGGAAGAGAGGAGATCATCTGTGCTTGAGTTCTCCCGTTGAAATAATGATGTGGAGGGAGAAATGGCTGAGGGAGAAGGAAGAGCGGCTGGGGCGTTGCTTCCGGGAGTCGTGGCTGGTGCGGGTATCTGCTGGGGGTTCAGACCCAGAGAGGCAGGACCTGGGGATGGAGATGGGGAAGGGGGGATAGTGTTGGCTGGCTGCACTGCTGTGGGACCTCCAGGAGAGGGCTGAATCAAGTGCTGAGCAGGGGTGGCATGGGGGCCAATGACAGTTGGTTGTTGTGACGCACCTGGGGGGACATTTGTCCCCGGAGCAGACGGATACATATTAGACGGCTGTGAAAGAGTCATAGGAAGAGAAGCTGCAGGATGAGGCGCCAAAGGCTGTTGAGGCATCATGGGAGCTCCACCAGGGTAACACACCCCCCCAGAATGAGCTAGGTGTGACTGGGACTGGCTGGAGATCTGCACGGGCTGCTGTGGAATATTTGGTATAGGAGGCTGGCCAGGCATGGACTGATGCTGTGCAGGCATTGCACTCTGAGGCATTTGGGGCATAGGCCTTCTGGGCAAGTGCACCTGAGGACCAGAGGCCATTTGAGGTTGTGAAGCAGGAGGCATCTGAGGGTGCATGGTAGGGGGAGTGGGCTGGCTGGGTGGAGGAACGTAGCTCATTGAGACTGGAGGTATCATCTGACCCGAACGGGGCAATTGTGGCCTATGAGCGCCTGGTATTTGCATCTGAGTGTGGGGCAGAATCTGCTGGGCACTTGGATTGATTGGAGTTTGTTGCTGCTGTGGCACCATCTGCTGGTGAGGGAGTCCAGAGGGCATCTGTTGGTTGGGATAGGGCAGATACGGGATAGATGCAGGGGCCACCGACTGGGAGTGAGCAGGTGGATGCACAGTCTGAGGTGGCCTTGGCATCGAGCCTGGCATCAGGTGAGGGGGCTGTTGGGGCATATAGGTCTGTGGAGTCTGGTAGCCCTGGGGTATCTGAGATTGTGGTGGGAAACCATTTTGTTGATGAAGCTGACCAGGAAAGGGTTGTCGGTACTGAGGAGGAACGCCAGGCTGAGGGGGAATATATCCATGAGTGTAAACTTGTTGGTTCTGAAGAGGACCAAGGGCAGGCCTAGGTCCAGGTTGGTACCCCTGAGGGAGAGGCTGGGTGTATTGCAGTGGATGCTTCTGTTGCTGTGTTGCAGGTCTCTGACCCTGGCCTTGAACCGGACCTCCTGGTTGGGGCATCATGTGAGGGTACGCTCCGATCTGTGGTACTGTGTAGCCAGTTGAGGCAGCAGGGGGAAGAGGGTGGTGTGGTGTGGGGGTGTAGCTGGCAATAGGAGCCAGGATGGTGTCCACAGTCGTGGTGGAGGGTCGGACAGGCACTGGGGCAACAGGGCCTGGCGGAGCAGTTTGTGGAGTGGATGGCCGATAGCCAGGCATAACAGGCTGGGATTGGTGTGGAGGCCTCTGTGGAGTCATCTGAGGATGGGGCATGTGTGGAGGAGATCCTTGTGTTGCCATCGCCCCTGAAGTAGGAAACTGAGAAATCCTCGCCAGAAGCTCTGGGGGTGGCAGGTTAGCAGGGAAGTGAGGGAGACCAGCAGCTGGCGCACCAGGCCAAGGCAGAGAGGAGCTTCCACCTAGCTTAGCACCTGGTAGCATAAAGGCTTCAGGGCCAGGCAAACGACCGGCAGGTGCAGGGAAGGAGGGAATATCAGGAGGGAGGCTGCAAAGGTCTTCAGGCAAGTCGCCCCCCAAGGCTAAAATCGCCGCACTGAGCTGGGCCAGCTCTGGATCCTCAATGCTAGAAGAGGAGGAGTCAACATCAGAACCCCTGGGCTTCAGGGTGGGCTTAGCAGCTGTGGGACGAGCTGGGGGCTTCTTCTGGGTCTCTCTACAAAAGGAAAGAAAACAACAAGAAGACTTAAGTGTACGTAAAAAGGTGGAGTTTATTGTAGAAACCATCACTTCTGCAAAAGAGTATGATCCTTACTTCTCTAGGGCGGGCCTCCTCTCCTCTGCCCTGGTCTGACACAGGGTCTTGGCTCTCTCCAGCAGACGTGATGCTTTGGCCTCCAGGTCATCATAAAACTCCTTTCCCTCCAGAGACTTCTTCATCAGGTCTTCGTAGGCCTCATACGACCCCACCAGTCCCTGGACGGTACCGTTCCACTGCTGCTCCATCTGGTTCAGGCCCTTACGCACCGAGGCGTACTGAACATTTGCCTCGGTCAGGGCTTTCAAGATGTTTTCTTGTGCTGCAAGGTTTTGGTCAATATAAACCTTCACCTGCTCATACTTCTTCAGCTGCTCCTCGAATATCCGCTGGAAAAGAATTCAAATCGTTTTAGGTACATATTATTATAGTACTTTTAAAAAATGAAGTACCTTCATGTCGGCTCTTTCTGTGGTGACGAGAGTAGAGGTGATGTCGTCCTGGTGGATGAGGTCACGAAGCTGTTTCTCCAAAGAGCTCCGCTGTTCCCTCATCTCCTGAACCTTTCCCAGGATTCGCTTCATATGTTGCAGGCCTGCCATTTCCTCTGCAGACGGACGTGCACCGTTAGGTTCACAATCACGTCTCGAATGTCAGCACAGTCCAATAAACGCCAAACACTCTGCTAAAACACTAAACTCCTGGAGCACCCACTCACCTTCACTCAGCTGGGGCCTCGGTAAGGTGTCCTTCAGAGTTTCCAGCGGCCCCCCAAGCAGACGCAGATTGCTGATGTGTAGGTTCATCGCCCTGTGGAGCTCTGTATTGGTGAAACTGGCCTTCTCGTGGGCCTCCATGTACTTCTCCAGGTCCCGGCGGATCTCGGCCAGAGCTTGGCTCTGTGCTGCTGGGTGAACCTCGGCTGCCGCGGGGCCAAAGGCCTCCTGGAGCATCCGCTCACCAGACTCATCCGCCTCTAGAACATCCCGAATTTCTTTCAGCGATGACTCCACGTCGGTGAAGACTCCTGAGAGAACTGCAAGAAAAGAGTTTGGAGTTCACGAGACGTTACTTCCAATCATGCACACATGTGCAACCTATAATGAATTTGGGCATTAGCAAACACTTGATTAGCTGTAACAACAGAACATGCTCTGAGATACAGGATTCAGAGGATTTTTAGATGTTACTTCAACTGAGGCATTAGCTGCCATTCCTACCAACCCTGCATGGACTGAATGAGGCTCTTGACGGTGTCTGGTCGAACGCTGAGAGCAGCACACTTCTCCATGAGGACCGGAGGGATGTGATTGTACATGTCCAGGTTGTCAACAGACTCTGGCTCCAAGCCCAAAGAGTCCATGAACTGCCTGTAGGACGAGACAAAACAAGACATTTGACAGTGGACGGAAATGATAAAAGCTTCATTTTAGATGTCTGAGCAGCTTAAAGGCCCACTTTGAATGAAAATAGAAGTCATGGCTGGAAAATATCACAGAATAGCATGCTGAAACGTCTAACAACAACAACAATCTCCAGAGACAAAAATATAAACAAAATCATAGCCAAGTTCCTCCAAAACACACAAACGCTCAAGAACTTACTCCAGAGTTTCATTTTTATTGTCGATCTTGGCCATCACATCCCTGAGCAGCTTGGCTTTCTCCTCACTGGTGAAAACAGACATAATTAGATTTTAAAAAAAAAGATTTGACTGAATACTTTGTTTCACACCAGTGATCCACTGAAGCAGCCCACCTGTACAGAGAAGAGGCTTCGTGGGCGGCCATGGGCACCAGTTTGGTAAAGAGGTCTGGCCCGGTGACACTGGGGTCGGTGGGATTGACGGGCAGAGGTTTCACCAGCGGAGCGCCTACAAACACATGAGCATCTCATCTTGAGTTATTAACCCTTTGATGCATGAATTATGAAATCTTCAACCGTGATTTTTTAAACTTTTTTTTCATTCATCCTTAGGGGCGAATGAAACAAATTTCAGCAAATATTATTTGTAACATTTTGTTAATTTACAAAAAATTTATTACATGTCCATCTCAGTGGACAGCGTGCATTCTGAACATGAAATATGTTGGCTTGACTTGCTGAAGTCCATATAGAGGGGCTCAAATGCAATAAAGTCTTCAACAACTGTGCTTAATAGCAAAAATAAAGAAATAACAATTTTGAGTACCTGTCCACTGTAGCGACCATTATGCATCAAAGGGTTAAAGACCAAATTCACCGATTTTAAAAAAATCTACTGTGGTCTCTAGTATAAATGAACGCCTTGTAGATCTCTGTGGGGGCAAAAAAGCTCTGGTGCTCCTGTTTCAGGAAGTAGAAGTTAGTCAGAGGAGAAGTGAGCAGAAAACAGCAGGACTTGGAGTCTTATTATTATTACCTGATATTCAGACATCTCACCTCTGACTGGTTAACAGCAACGCAACTCTACCACTGACTCTGCTTTGCAACCCATCCATCCATCAATTTTCAGTCGCTTATCTGGTGTTGGGTCGTGAGGGCAATAGCCTAAGCAGGAAGGTCCAGACTTCCCTCTCCCCAGCCACTTGGACCAGCTCCTCCGGGGGAATCCCAAGGCGTTCCCTGGCCAGGCGTGAGACATAGTCTCTCCAGCATGTCCTGGGTCTAACTTTAGGCCATCTTCCAGTTGGAGGTGCCAGGAAAACTTCACCAGGAAGGCGTTCAGAAGGCATCCTGACCAGATGCCCGAGCCACCCAAACTGGCTCCTCTTGATGTGGAGGAGCAGCGGGTCTACTCCGAACCCCTCCCAGATGACCGAGCTTCTCACCCTATTTCTAAGGGAGAGCCCAGCCACCCTGGGGAGAAAACTCATTTCGGCCGCTTGTACCCGCGATCTCGTTCTTTCGGTCACTACCCAAAGCTCATGACCATAGGTGAGGGTAGGAACGTAGATCGACCGGTAAATCAAGAGCTTTGCCTTCTGGCTCAGCTCTCTCTTCACCACGACAGACCGGTACAATGCCCACATCACTGCAGATGCAGCACCAATCCGCCTATCGATCTCACGCTCCAGCTTTCCCTCACTCGTGAACAAGACCCCGAGATACTTAAAACTCCTCCACTTGGGGCAGGACCTCATCCCTGACCCAGAGGCCTTTTCCGACTCAAGGCCGAAACTCAAGACCATGGTCTCAGATTTAGAGGAGCTGATTCTCATCCCAGCTGCTTCACACTCGGCTGTGAACCGTTGCAATGAGAGCTGAAGATCATGTTCTGGTGAAGCCAACAGGACCACATCATCTGCTTTGCAACGTTGATGTTTTACCTCCACAAATAACAAAGCCTGAAGGAGTTCTGCCATGTTGTGGAGTTGCCAATGCTAACGGTGAGCTTCTACTTGCCAAGACGTGCTCTGCTCTCTCCTGGACACTAAACCAACAGCCTTCCCCGTCGCGAGCCAAGATGGGTGAGTCCATGAAAGTTCATTTTACATTATGACGTGCAAATGACTGGCTTCTCTTATCCGAGTGCTTTCCCGTCTATTTTCTATTAGCGGCTATTGCAGGAAATAGGGGTAGACAACTATTTTCATATTCAGCCTGCATGTGAAATTTATAGTGACCAATCATAAAAACAAAAAGCAATTTTTTTCTCAATGAACCTGCTTTAAAAAAAAAACAAAAGCAAATAAAATCAACACAGAGAGAGAAAAAAAACGTCATTCTCTCATGTTTTTGTAGGATTTTCTACATAAAAAAAACGTCATTCTCTCGTGTTTTTGTAGGATTTTCTACATCAAAGCTCTGCCTGCCATCATTCAATGATAGGTTTTAATTCATGGATGTGAAACAGAAGAAGCAATTATGATAATCAAATAACAAAACCCTTTTATAAGCAGGTCCAAGACTGAGTCACACAGAACCAGTCACACACACTCATCACTCTGCTTACACACTTTAAAAATAAGTCAACAGACAAAACCTGTTTTGCATGCATTCAGCAACTGAGCACATGCAAAAGTTACCTTTGACAGAGGCAAGAGTCTCCAGAGACGGAACTGTCTCGTGATAAATGAAGTCGTTGTCCTTTTTGGCAGAATTAAACCTGCAGATTCAAAGAAATGAAAACTCTAAGAAAAAGTCATCAGATAAATATTTGCAGTTTTGTCAGACTAAGACTCCGGTGAAACAACATTTTAGGACTCAAAGCTCACTTTCCACCAACAACATCCATGGTGAACTTCAAGGCTTCTTGCACGCTGTCGGGTTGACCCTGATTGTAACAGAGCAAGAAAAAAAAGGCAGGTTTAGTTTCAGTTAACCTGGAGGGCTGAACCTCTGCAGTGAAAGTAAAATGTGGGACAATCGTTTACCTTCGCTAGCTTGATGGCTTCACTGAGTTTGTCTGAGGAGCTCTGCAGATATGCCAACTGTGGAGAAGTTTCAACACTTAGATGATAAAATGAATTTACTATGAATGACTAATTAACCCAAAATATGAATTAAAGGTGTGGTTCACTCAGTTAATAAATACATTTACAGTGGTCTCTAGTAGGAATGAATGCCTTGTAAGTCGTACTCTGGAGAAAAAGCTCCAGTGCGCCTTTGTCAGGAACTAGAAGTGAGCCACATCAGAGCTGAGCTTCAGACGGCAGGATCTGGAGTTATTTCCTGATATTCACCATCTCACCTTTGATTGGCTAACAGCAACGCAAATCCACCACTGACTCCATTTGCTTTGCAACGTAGATGTTTCATCTCCACAAATAACATAAACCTGAAGGAGTTCCGCCATGTGGTGGACATGCTAATAGTTAGCTTCTACTAGCAGAGACGCGCTCTACTTTCTCCTGGATGCTAAACCAACAACAACCTTTCCTGTTTCTCAGTTAACGTGGCCCTTAATGAGTGTAATTAAGAGAAGGAGCAAATAAATGTATGAAAAATTCAGGTGATTTCTTTAGTAATGTCAGAAACACTGTTAAAACCATTAGACATCCCTGCAAGCCAGCAAGCTGCCCTGCTGAGCTAGTGCTGTTGACACTACAGGCAGGAACATTTATAAATGTCTGCATTTCATATTTATGTTTATATATTCATTTTCAAAATCAGAATAATAACAATTTAACCATTTTGAAGCTTTGAATCAACATTAGGCCCCAACAATTTAACATTTGGGCTGCTCATCCCGGTTGGAAAACATTTATTATTGTTTTTACGCAGATAAAAATCAAAAGAGAGTTGATAAATGTGGCGTTTACCCGTTCTCCAAACTTATGCTGCTCCTCGGCCTGTTTTCCCATGTGAAGCTGTTAAAGGACAACAACTATTGTTAACATTTTAAACAAAAGTTTTTACCTTCGTAAGCTCTACCTTTGTAAGTACTAAAAGGGCTATGCTAGAATTTACCGTCACACATGCTATGACTCACATGTGCAATAGAAGCAAAGTAATAGATCTTCATCTGAACCAGTTTTTTCCAGTCTTTCTGGATCTTTCCCAGCATGGAGGCTGTTTCCGAGTTCTCCAGAGCCCTGCATGCTTCTTTATAGTAATCCACCACCTGCAAGCATCGCCACCACAAACATCAGCTTTCAAATCAGAGGGAATAATTCCTAAAATGAAATAAATGTTTAAAGAGCAAGTCACTCCAAATCAACATTTTTTTTGCTGATAAATCATATAAATGAGTGTCTGATCGTGCTGCAGACAAATGTAGTCAGTAATTCGGCACTTTAGTGCATCTTAGTTAAAATTTAAATATTCTGCCTAAAACTGTCAGTGTTGCACCGTTGTCACGTAAAAACTCAGCACTGCATTTGAATTTAAATCTGATGTCGCTATTGGCTAAGAGGTACACTATGATGTTAGATGGTACATTATGATGTCACAATGTTGTGTGTGTGTATTTGTTAGCGGCTCCACCCTCTCGGTCTGCTAGGCAACAGCATTTGTTAAATTTTTCAAACAGGAAGTGGGAGTTGAGTAGAGTAAGAATCTGGTAGGGGGTGTCTTGCTCTTTAACAACAAAACATAAACCTGAGCACTGATGCGAGCAACCAGAAAGCTCTTCCTGTTGTCCAACATGGACTTCTCCAGAAGACACTCCTGAGCCTGGCCCTGGGAGACAGACAGTTTATTAATGTGTGTGTGTGTGTGTGTGTGTGTGTGTGTGTGTGTGTGTGTTTGTGCGTGCGTGCGTGCGTGTGTGTGTGTGTGTGTGTGTGTAACCTACCAGCATAAGGTTGATGTTGAGGTTGAGGATCTGGTGGCTCATATCCACACTAAAGTTGTGGCTGAAGTGGTCTTTAAGGTAGGAGAAAGCTCCAGCTGAGCACTGGAAGTGGGTGCACGACACCTTCATCCCCTGGAAACACAGCAGATTTACTCAGACCGGGTGTGTGCATAAGCGTTTATGTGTGTGTGTGCATGCATGCATGCATGAGCGTGTGTGTGCATGGGCATGTATGAGTCTGTATGTATGTGTTAGATGTGTGTGTGTGTGTGTGTGTGTGTGTGTGTGTGTGTGTGTGTGTGTGTGTGTGTGTGTGTGTGTGTGCATGAGCATGTATGAGTCTGTATGTGTGTTAGACGTGTACGTGTGTGTGTGTGTGCGTGTGTGTGTGTGTATGTGTGTGTGCGTGTGTGCATGAGCATGTGTGTCCGTATGTATACGCATGCATGATCGTTTGTATGTGTGTGTGTGTGTGTGTGTGCATGAGCATGCATGTTCATGTATGTATGTGCATGCATAAGTGGTGGTGTGTGAGTGAGTGAGTGTGTCATACCTCCTCAGAGACCCTGTTATCCATGGCTCCCAGCATAGAGTGCAGGGCCCCTGCAGAGATTAAACAAACCATTTGGAGAAGTTTGACACTCCTACGAAGCAGATTCAGCCTGTATTTCTGTATTTCTCATACGTTTTTATAAACAGGAAGTGCATGTTCTGCTGCTTTTTCAGCAACCTTTATGTACTTTCATCCCATGGAGGAAAATACATTTGGAAGTAATTTCCTTAAACTTTACATGTTCTAGCTGTCATTGAGAATACACTGATCCCAAACTAAAACGAGTCGTCGGTCAGCAGACAAAAATATCATTTCTGATTTAATGTCACGATAACTCACCAAGATTGTAGAGGATGCATGCTTGCTCATAGCTGATGTCATCATGGCTGACAGTTTTTCCTGAGAAAATCTCAGTCCTGAACAAGATTCAAGATGAACAAAAAAAAAACGTAAATGCTATGAAGCTGCATGAGTAAACACATCGACTCCACTTCAAAATAAGAATGAATGTCATTTACTACATTATTAATTCATATTTTTCTGATTTTGTTTTATTTTTTTGTACAGATCTGTTAAACAACTTCAGCTGTGTTCAAAGATAATTATTGGATATTTGGCTTTCTTGCTAAAACATCTTTGCTGCCTCATTTGGCCCTGGCCCGCTCCTTCTGCCTGCAGAACAAATGTTACCATGAAAGTCCCAGTAGCTGAAAGGTAAAGAAGACTGCATGCATGAGTACAATAACATGTGTGTTTTAGTGTGGCATTACCATGAAATGGGCACAGCAGCCTCCTGGCCCATCCCCATTGGAACCCGACTCTGGAGGTAATGCAGCTGGCCGAAGTACTTCCTCAGGGTGCTGCATCCCTCGAAGTCCCTCGTCACGTTGACGGCGCTCTGTCAAAACAGACACGATGGATGTGTTTCTGCTGTGTTGCATCAGGTGTTCTTAACCTCCAGAGCTACTAAATCACTCATTATCGATGGCTCTATCGATATTTCCCTCCGTGACTGTCGGTGGAGCTCTTTTTGGATGCGTCAACGTTTGACTTGAGTTATAGCTTGACTCGCGGCTCAGACGGATGAAGGTGTCGAACAAACAAAGCACACATCATTTGTCTGTTACACAGTGGAGATGAGAAAAACGAATGATTACATATAAGCAGCTCTACTGGAATTCATTACAGAGTCTGCTCCAGAGTCGGGAAGTTCCCATCCTTATTAGTGCTTGGAAATGGAGACACAGGAAGAATAATTCAAGAAACATATTTTAAAAGATGACAAGAAGCTATACATAACGTCCAAAAGGAACAAATGATTAATGATTGCGGCATAAATAACACCTCAAAAACTAAAATACAGAAACCAAACTTTATTTCACGCTCTACCAATGTACTTTAGATTTAGAGGGGCCTACACTCATTTTTCAACATTTCAGTGGCCTCTGGTATAAATGAATACATTGTGAGGCATTCTCTGCAGAAGAAAAGGACTGGTGCTCCTGTTTCAGGATGTAAAATGTAACCCGAGGAGAGGGGTGAAGAAAACGGCAGGATTTGCACTCTGATTTCCTGATTTTGAACATTTGGCTTCTGATTGGCTAAGAGCAGCGCCACTTCACAACTAACCCAAGCCAGAAGGAGTTCCTGCCCTGTTGTGGAGTAGGGCTGAACGATCTATCGTTTTTGGACCGAAATTGCTATTTCAAACAGCACGATCAAATGACCGTCAAAGCTGTGTTATCTTTTTAGCGGTTTTGACTGATCCAGGATCTCTTGTGTAACTTTTCTTCACATCCGGTTTCCCCCTGTGTTGTGGCGGCGGCAACAGCCAGCGCGGGGGAGGGGGTGTACCGTCCAGAGCCGAGCCCAAATCCACAGCTGCACATTTAAAATGTTTTCCCTGTTTTATTTCTCCCCACACGGCGCCGCTAGAGCCGATAATGATAGCACCGTAGGTGAGTGAGGGAGAAAAAGACTCCTCCCACATCTGAGCAGGTTCAGGCTGATTTCTAAAGCTTGGTTTATGCTTCATCAGCACGAGTGCGGAGTCACGCACTTTAGTTGACTTGAAAGTTCAACTTCTCTTTTAAAAATGGTTTGAATTTTTCTGATGGCACACGTTAGCGCAAACAAGCCAATGTGTCAGTGTCTCTTTGACATTATTTGCTATTTAATACATTTGAAAGCTGGTTCTACCTTCAGATTTCCTCCTTGCATTTTTGCAGTAGAACAAGAACGTTTTTTATAAAGCACCTCTCTAGATAAAAATTACAAGCTGCTTCACAAGCACATAAAACATTTTCAAAATGATAATAATGGGAGAAAATATTAATAGCTTTAATTGTTTTTATTGTATGATTAAATAGTAAGTATTATTGTGAATGATTTGTTGTACTAGATTGGAATCTAGACCATATTTTCACTTAAAAAACAGGATGGCTTGGCAGGCTAGTGTTGTACCTTTGCTTGAAGAAAACCGTGAATTGAACTAAAATTGCAATTTCTGCGAGAAAAATCGCAATTCAATCTTTTCCTAAAATCGTTCAGCTCTAGTGTGGAGCGGCTAATGCTAACGGTTAGCTTCTACTGGCAGAGTTGTGCTATGCTATCACCCGGACGCTAAAACAACAGCAGCCTTCCCTGTCGTGAGTGAAGATGGGTGAGCCCACGATTGTTAAGTGACAGTGTGACGTAGATCTGTCAGGATTTTTCTAGTCCGAGTTTCCCCCGTCTATTTGCAGATGGCCACTAGTGTCACAAATCCCTGGGAGCACAACCTCCAGCAAAATGACAAGCACATCAGACTCCTTTTCATCACTGGCAATGAGTGAAGAGGTAAACGTGTAAAACAACAGCGTTTATGAATGGTGAAAGTTTTGTAACCGCTTGTTACAGATCAGTAAATGTGTTTTGTCCTCACGGGCTCCCATAGAAGGAAACGTGGCGTCTAATATGGAGTCGCCCAGAAACTTAGACCTACTCCCATGTATTTAAGACCCGATTTTTATGGTTATATGTTACAAAGCCGCCAATATTTTTCAATAACTGGGCATCATTTAATTGATTTTTACCAACATTTTGATAAATATTTCTAGAGATTAACAGTAAAAACTACTAAATCACTTGTTTTCCGATCAACCCAACTAGTCTGGATGGACACTCGTTCAGTGAATGTTTTTTCTTTCCACATTTTTTAAAGTCCGGGCCTCTTTACTTAGGCTACTGCCCCTGAGACCCGACCCCAGATAAGCGGACTAAAATGGATGGATTGATGGATGGTCACATGTTCTGACAAAGTTTCCTGTCCTGCTCACCTGCCGAAGAGTCTCCAGTTTCTTCAGCTGCTCGTTGTAGCTGTCCGGATTCTCTCCATAGTTCTTTAGAATGAACTGAAAGTGAACAAATATGGTGTCAAAAACAAAATGAGTACATTTTAAAGCTTCAGTCTCAACGCCAGAACCAAACTTATCACATGATGTGTAGAAGATTAAATAAAAAGCCAAGAAGGTTCTCCTCCAGGCTCTTTCCCATGATGCTTTGCCAAGACTTTCCCTGCCTCAGCTACATTAAGCAGTAAGCCACTTAATGTCAGGTCAGCAGGTTAGAGGTTCCTGCAGATATTCTCGTTCTTTTCCAAGCTCTGATCGTCCAGGTTTTAGTTAAATCACTGAGGGCCAGTAAAAATGAATGAATTAATAGAATTTATTAAACCCACAGTGGGGAAATTCACACGTTAGAAAGAAGCACAACCACTAAACAACGAGACAAACAGCATCTTGGAAAATGAAAAGATGCCTTTTGCTTTGCAAGCCAGGCGTCCACTCTGGCGTCTCAAACTGTTCACAAATTCCAAATAAGATTTTACTTGTATTTTTTGTTGTGATTTAACAAATGTCAACTAATTAGCCCAAGGAGCATTAGCCAGCATGTTTTGTAAAAAAAAAAAAAAAAAAAAAAATATATATATATATATATATATATATATATATATATATATATATAAAATTTGTTCTAGGAATGCAGAATATATCGGCATTAATATCGGTATCGGCCGATGTTAGAAATGTTTTAACATATAGGCATCATTCCATTTGTTTATCTGTTTCAGAGGGTGACGGGGGTGGTATGTATTTGTTTAGTCATGTGACAGAGATTGTAATCATCTCAGAAGTGTAAATGTGTGAGGTGTGTGTACACAATAACCTAAATTCAGCTTTAATCATTTTCATTCTATACAAAATCTGCTGATTTTAGAAGCATTCATGTTAGTATTTCGATATTGGCAAATATTGGTTATTGGCCACAACGGTGATGTTAATATCGGATATCGGCCCAAAATTTCATATTGATGCATCACTAATCTATGTATGTGCTGACTTAACGAGTGAATTTCTCCATTGTGGGATCAATATAGTCTATTTTATTCTATCGCATTGTTAAATCTATTAACTTTGAAAGAAATGTCAAAACTCTAGTTTTTCATACATACATTATTTTTGTTTTACTGACTATTTCTAGTATTTCCGTCATGATGAACTCGACCAGGAGGCTAAACTTCACATTCCCTTTCATTCAGCAGTTAGTGGGGTTTAATATTTACCAAACTTACCAAACTGTGTTTTGAATGTGCATTACGTGGAAGTGACAAAAACTTGAGAGGACTGAGATTCCTTCAGGTGCATCACGTGACATTGAGATCACTGTTTTCCTGTCGGTAACAGGGCTATGGGGCTAACAGCGTCGTTGTTTACCCTTTCATTTTGGTCTGAGCCGCTGTCAGTATTGTGGCAAATAGTTAAATTGATTGTTTGCCAACAATAAAAGCTAACTCCTTGTGTATTTTTTGTGGAGGAGTAGGCTAACGCTAGCCACCAAAAGGCGGTGTGGGCTTTACCAGATCCAGACCTTAGCTAACTGCCAAACAAACCTTCTGGAAATTTCCACCAACTGATACGCGAACGGTGCCACACGTCGGCCTTAGAATCGGAGTACCCAGCCTAGTTCGGGTGACTTTCGACCTCAGCCCTGTTGCTCCTTTCCCCACCCAGCTCACCTGCCTGACGGACGGGCTGAACTGGAACTCCCCAGCTTCCTTCAGATCCAGCCAGATCATCGGCATGCGGGGGACCGCCTCCATCGCGGCCTACGCTACTCGACACTGTCGCCCAGGCTGGATGTCAGAAACCCGCCAGGTGTTGCCTGGACGTTAGTGTTATTTTTCCTGAAGATCGCTTTCCTCCAAACAACTGTGTCATGTATCCATTTACACATCAGCCGTAAACTGGAAACGTACGTGACGTAGGCCTCAAACACGCGCCGTGAGGTATTGTGGGAAATGTAGTCAACTATCCAATTACTCTTTAAAATAAAGACAATTTGAGCAGAAACAGTTTATTTCTTCATTAGCATGGCTTATATACAAACGTATTTATTAATAATTATTTCATAAAATAAAAAATATCCATACTGAAGCAAATGTATGAAGAAGATGCTGCAGGAGGAAAATTAAGAAAGGTTTTTTTCATGTAGCAACTTTCACCATAAAAATCAGAACACACTTCACAAGCACAATTAAACATTTTAAATTATGTAAAAAGATTATAATAACAAAGTGGAACCAGTTGATATGAATTGGTTAAGTTAATTCAACACTTAACTTCTTAGAGTGAGGGATTGTGCCCGGTTTCCATGGTGGCCCCACACGGGTTTGCCCACAAAGATTTGAACGAGCCCGTATATGAGTCAAACCATCTGGGTCTCTTTTGAGAATCCATGTAGGGCCCCATAAAATCTATGTGGGCAAAAATCAATGCGGGCAGACCCCTGTGGGTCCACCATGGAAACCATGGACAAACCCAGCTGGACCCCAGTTGGTTTGCTCACATATATGTATGCTGGCTGGGAGGAGCTGGAGGAGGGACATCTTGGTCTTGTTTCCTCCGTGAGACAACCTTCATTGAGGGGGGAAAAACAAATGGATCGAAGAATAGCTCAAGGATTTTTTTTTATTTTTTAGTTTCTATTTGATTCAATTGTCGCTCGACATGTTTATCATATGCTATTTTTGTCCTTTTAATGTGAATCAAATTATAAACATCTTTTAAATTATAATTTTATATTTATAGACCTTATTTCTCTTATTGAAATAATCATAAAACAGTTACCATTGTCCACAGTTTTATTATACGCTCTTCATGGCTTTATGTTCTGAGTGTGTCTTCGTATTATAACTTCAGCATAACCAAAATAAATTAAACATGTTTAAACCGGCATGCAACTGTTGAAATGTGGAAATTAAGCTGCTCTAAAGCTCTCAGTATGCAGTGCATTAATGCCACTTTCACTTGATGCCTTCATTTTCAAATAGGTGGAAAACTATAACCTCTCAGCTTTTTCAACACCCACTCTAGCTCATTTAGATTTATGAATTCAAGCCTGGCTATTAATAAAAAGACACACTTTGTTACTCCTTTCCTAAGTAAAGATGACTAACAAAAGTGATGATAAATGAGATTCATAGCCTCCTAGAGTGTCAGCTGTGGCTAATTAGCTGTCACACCACGAGCAGTGTCTGCAGATACTCTCAGTCACAAACACCTACATCGTCTGCAGCACCTAAACTAATGAGGGAAGTTGTTCTGTTTTCATTGGTAATCAGACATGATGTGAGCAAAGCATCAGAGCGAAGTAGTGATGTTATAAGTGCAATGACATAAATTACTGCAGTAAAAATTTCAGAAGTTCAGAGTGCAGCTCAACAGACTATCACTAAGTCTGGTTTCACAAACACTCCACTAACAGCACAGCCACCAGACTGAAAGTATTGATCAGGTCCCATCATATATATATATATGTTATTTTACCATATAAATATATATATATATATGTGTGTGTGTATATATATATATATATATATATATATATATATATATATATATATAAAGGGTGAACCGCACGGTTATCAGCATGTTAAAAAAGTACGTGTCAGCTAACCACCGAGATTGGGATGTGAAACTTCCGTTGGTCCTCATGGCCATACGCGCTACCCCCCACGAGTCTACAGGTGTCTCCCCGTTTGAAATGATGACGGGCAGACAAATGACCCTACCGCTTCACCTGCTGTATCAACGACGGGTTTGGTCCGACACAGCCCCGGCTTGTACGAGCGGCCAATACTTGCAGGACCTGAGAACTCACCTGCTTGCAGCATTCTCGTTCGCACAGGCATCTCTGGAAAAGTCAGCTGAAGGCAGGAAATCTTATTACGATAAGAAAGCCTCGCATTCCGAACTCGATGTAGGTGATCAGGCCTGGTACTACATTTTCGCTCCCAAAACGGTTAACAATAATGCGACCTCGGGGAAGCTGGCTAAGAAACTTTTGCCCAAATGGTCGGGTCCATACCTGATTACAGATAAGATCTCTCCGGTCGTGTATCAGATCGAGATCGCCGACAAAGACAAGGCGCCCGTCTACAAATGGGTACACAGGGACCATATCAAACTGCACAAGGGTCCCACAGATTTGGCCGATTCCAACAACAACAATCCACCGACTTCAAAAGGGGGGTGATATATACGTCCCGTTGGTTCCACAGATTTCTATCTCTGATGACACAAATTTGTTTGTTTGTGAGTGTGCATGGTTGTCTTTCCTGTTATACGTCACGTGCAGACTTAAGGTGTGTTGAGACGGACGTGCTGTGGGCTCCTGGAGTCAGGTAAACGGCCAGGTAACAGTGAGTGGGTTAGGCCACATAGTACTGTTGTCCAAACATTTTGGTTTTTTTTATCTTTACTAATCATAATTCCTTAGGGGTACATTAACATGAACATGATTACTAACCACTGATTTACATTTTAGTACTGATTTACATTTCAGTTTTTTTTATAGTACCTTTGACCAGTTGATTTTAACAGTGAATATTATGATTTTGACTATCAATTCTTTGATTTATCTCACAGGGCTATAACCAATTTTGCCCCTGTCCTGACAGCGTGTATTTCCAGTGAGGTTTCACTGATACCAGTTAGGGTTTCTTTCATTTTTCTGCTTCTCGCATCATCCTTTTTGCACCTAACACAGACAGGGCTGCATCCATTTCTTCACTTAATGGGTAATTACACATAAAACTAACACATAGTACAAAAGGCACTAATAGAGTTAGGTTTTTAAATTTTTTTTTGATGACATGAAATGCAGTTTTGTCGTGTCTACATTGAAGTGCCTGCACTGTGCTCTCTCTCCTCTGCTGAGCTTGTGAGGATCCTGCTTCCTGGGGGTGGATCCGTGACTCGTCATCTGCATCGACTACTCCTGGGGGGTGCTCCGGCTCGTTGGCCTTGGACGACTGTGGTTCTGGCAGGGCTGCTGGGACACCTCATTCGTTGGGATTACTGTCAACTGCTCTTCCCTTTTTGTGGATTACGATAAGTACTGTTGCGGAGTTCAATCTTTTATTTGGAATATTACCCTGCCAGTGCATACAAAGATCAAATTGATGTTTGGAATACTACCCTGTTCGTGGATACGTACAAGATTTGCTCCTGCTTTGCTTTATTGCCCGTGAGGATATAAAGTTGCTGTTGCTTCGTTTATAGCTTCCATGGGGAATAATTAATAACCTGCTGACTTGTGTTCTTCCTGAGGAGTATGCAAAACTGTTCTTCGGCGTGGGGTTCGTACCTCACCACAGATGGCTGTTCCCTTGGGATCGCATCCTGTTCTGTTGTCAAGATTCTTCATAACTTGGGTTTGTTCAACGACCAAGTGGTCTCTTGAAGGACCACATTGACCTTGAAAAGGGGGGATATGTAACGTTATGAAGTTCATAATTTTCAGCTCCACACAGCTGCCCCTGTACACAGTAACATCCGTGTAGAAAACGCCAAGGTCAGGTGTTCCTCAGACTGTTTACATTCCAGGAGAAGAGCCAGAAGGAGAAGAAGAACGCTTTTACTTAATCAAAGCACTTTATTTGTGATTGAAAATTAAGCAAAACATATGTCGATCAATAATAATCAAGTGAATGATCTGTGAAATAAAGATGTCATGATTTATGTGTTTAATGAAAACAGGACTACTGCACAGACAGACTGACCCTCATCTCCATAGAAACGCATGACACATTGTTCCAACCAATCAGAGCTTTCGGCTGCCGTAAGAGAATCTGGCTTGTTGAATTAAAGTGTCCAATCCCGTTGTTGAGGGTCTGACCTCATGAGGAAATTACTATGCAGTGATTTTCTCCAAAATGACTGTGCTTAAATTGCTCTGGAAAGCAAATAATCACATCAGCGCCAAGAAACTTCATTTCCCATGATGCTTTGCACACGGAAGCATTGGGTGATGTTACCGCCTAGTACCAGAAACACGTTCTGCGCATGTGCGGGAAGCCGTGGAGCTTTTCCCGCGAACTAAGACCATAAATCTTCAGCAGAGACAAAGAATCCTCGTTCTTTTGCCCAGGATACCTGGCGGTAAGGACACGCTTATCGAACGCTCCGATTCCCTTGAGCACGCGGAAGCTCTAAGTGCCCAAGTTGAGGACACAGAACGGCGGAGGAAAGCAACAACTCCATCCAGCTCTCTGAGACGCTGTAAGTTGTCAAACTCAGCACAAAAGAAACTTCGTTCTTTTGCCCAGGATACCTGGCGCTGATGTTTGAGGATACAGAACTGCGGAGGAAAGCAACAACTCCATCAAGCACGCTGTAAGTTATAACTCAGCACAGAAAGAAACTTCGCTGTCTCTGTCCAGCCCGTGGAGAAACACTCGTGAACGCCAAACAACGGAGAAAGCATCAAACCGACGGACGACGCCGAAAGCTGCGGAGAAACACGGAGAACCGTCAAATCAAAACAGTGAGGGACGCTTCACTGTTCTGGTGATCAGAAACTCATCTCTTTCTCTCATTCTTTCCTTCTCCCGTTTCCTCTATAGTCTCGAATAAGCAATAAACCGCGTCTATTGCTTAAAAAGTAGCTTCGTGCTTTCCTCTTTCGTCCCAAACACGTCAGTCGGGTCATTTTGAAAGAATAAACTGCTTATTGATCATTGTTTGGTATCTTTAAATGTTTTCTGCTTGGCCACGTGGTTAAACTAAAAGATATTATTCGTGATTAATCTTTTGTGTTGTTTCATGATCTTTTGAAATGTTTTGAGTGA